CAATTGATGTATGTATGGATTGTGATAAGAGTGTATGAGCCCCTAATAAAATAATTAAAAATATATTCTTTGAATAAATAAATGTTATGAAAAAATTAATTATTCAAGTAGACTTAAAAAAAAAAGAAAATGGGCTGATGTTTCTTTTTGAGATAAAAATATTCTGGAATTAGAGGTGAGGGTTACATAATCATATATTAAAGACCAATGAATAGTACACTTTAAAATAGTGAAACTGATAGCATGTGAATTATATCTGAATCAAAGAAATAACACAATCAAAAAAGAATAATAATCTCACATGTCATGTAATAATTGGTAAATATGACTCAAAATCAGAGGGAAAAAGGAAAAAAGATTAGTATCTTATTATTACAGTAATAGTTTTAGAGACCCCAGAGATGCCAGACATTTTGAATACTTAAACTAGCCTAAGCTAATACTTAACCCATGATGAAAACTTAATGAATTCTTAATGACTGATCTATTTGAATGATAATAAAATAAAACTAGAGTGGTAAGACACTGAAAAAAAAAGGCAATAAGGTCTAGTTGTTCTTTATAATTCACACTTTATGTAGTTAAAATTTTTTTCTGCCAACCTAAGTGATTATATTGCTTGCATACTAAATTATAATGCCCTAAGCCAGAGGTACAATATAAAATAGTTCTAAGAGCTCTGGCATTAGACTCAGACACTGAGTTCACATACTGGCACTATTAACTACTAGCTATGAGATATTATCCAAGATATTTGTATCTTCTGCACCTAATTTTCCTCACCTATAAATGAAAATAAAAGTTAAAAGAGCTAAGGTAATCCTTGTAAGATCGTTAGAAAGACAGCAACACATAGTAAGTATTCAGTAAATTATCTACTATCTTTGTAAACCAAGAATCCATTTTATAGCATCAGACTTGTGTCATTTACAAACAAAACTATTCCCTTTTGAAAGCACAGGCTGCTTTGTCTAAAGCAAAGTCGAAGGACTTTGCCCATCTTTATTGATGAGCACTGAGTTCACATGAATTCCTCTCCTACTTTCCAGCCCACACTACTAATGCCGTATCCTATTGCTTTCTAGAACTAGAAAGTAGTTAATTAATCCAAGTCAAGGAGTGGAAAACTTCCTGAGCAACCACAACAAGATGATTTCTTCCAGAAGTAGAGCCTCCAAGGACCTTCTAGGAAATTAAAATTTATAGACAGTAAGAGTTGGATGACAAGATGCTAAAAAAAATTTTTTTTTTTAAGTTTGGAATACAACCAGGACTAGAAGAGTGAAGTGGTGTGGAAAGGATGGCTTACCTAGCTCCTGAAGACGGGTGTAGAAATTGGTCAATAAGGATGCTGAGAGAAATTCTATACTAGGGGGTCAGAAAACAGTTTTAATCATTATCTCATTTGGTGACCTCACTTACATGTTAAAGATCTGAAAGCCTTAATCTAACACACATGGCCATTACCAGCAATTTTCCAACCATTCTCTGACGACTCAATACAAAACTCAATTCCTGTCACACTGAATTTCTCATTCCCACTCGACACCAACCTCCATCACAATTTAGGATTATTTGTGTTTGTTGTTCTCTAACTCTGGAATGTCCTCTAGTTCAGCCAGTTCTCTACTTAAAACTCCTACTCATCCCTCAAGAGATACCTTTATCAAGAGATACCTCATGTTAGTTGTAACTTATCTATACAGTGGTTACTCGCTGGGCTGCAAACTGCAATGTCAGCAGTGGGAAACCACCAGTCACTCTGAGGGAGGTGGACATGGATGAGGCTTTCTACACCCATAAAGAGTTACAGTCTGGGAAACCCCAAGGAACAGCTCTACCCCATCCTATAGGGTCGATACAAGTTGAAAATGACTCCATGACAGTGAGTTGGGTTGGGTTTGGTATGGAGAAACTCTGATGGAGCTGTCAGTAAGCAGGAGAATGCTCAGCAGTTCAAGCCAACCAGCTACTACTCCTTGAGAGAAAAGATGAGGCTGGCTGCTCCCATCTAAGAATTTACAGCCTTGAAAATCATCTATAGAATCCCTATAAGTCAAAATCATCTATAGAATCCCTATAAGTCAAAATGAAGTAGATTTGAGGTGTTTGTTTGCTTTTTAATATGTAGACTATTTTCTTTTTTTTTTAAATCATTTTACTGGGGCTCATACAACTCATCACAATCCACACATACATCAATTGTGTAAAGCACATTTATACATTCGTTGTCCTCATCTTTCTCAAAACTCGCTTTCCGTTTGGGCTCCTGGAATCAGCTCCTCATTTTTCTCCCCCACCTCTATCCCCGCTCCCCCCTCCCTAGATTATTTTCTTTGAAGACACATTGATTCTCCTTTATTTTGCTCTAAAACACAGCAGTGTCCAGCAAACAGTACAAATGCAAATGTTTGATTAACTGATGAATGGTTAAGTGAATGAGGAAATTGCAATGTTTAAGTAAAGCATTTTACTTCTGAAACTATTTCTATTGACACGGGAAGATAGTTATACACTTAAGAACCAACATGATAGGGGTTTCAAAAACTTTCATAAAAAATTTACATTATCTTTCAATTCTGTTTATTGACAAACTTTTTGAAGCTTCCTTGTACACCAGGCGGAGAAACCAAGTAGATTGGCTTTGATTCTCTCTATGATCTTTAGCAAATTACACTACTTCTGTGAGTCACAGATTCATCTACAAAACAAATTTCATAAAGTAATTACAATAAACAAGTGTAACAAATGGAAACAAGCACACACACCTTAAATTTAAAACATGCCTAGTACAGTGCCTGAAATAAAATAGACACTCAAATAAATGCCATCTGCCACTTTATCTCCTTTAATTCAGTGGTTAGTTTGGGTATCCAATGAGTTAATCTGATAGGCAAAAAAATCTTCAAATATACTACACCACACAAATTAAATTTCCCAATCAAAAATATTTTGACCTGTTCATCATCTTTGTATTTACAATTATTCCTTTTTTTTTTTTTTACTTTTAAGGATCACTTGGGAACATTATTCTGGTTTTAAATATTTCTTCAATGGATTATCCAATTATTTAGAATCCTAGAATTTAAAACAGTTTAGTTCAGTGTAAACAATTCTCATTTTAGGAAGAAAAATATCCAAATTTCCTGCTTTAAACTACTGTGATCCTTTTGATTTGCCTTTCAGGTCTTTTTAGAACTGTTCTTTTTTAGAACATATTCCTATCGACAGTACTGACTTTAACTGAATATTGTAACATTTTATGAATTCAAGCAATTTATTTTTAAAAGGAGCACACCTCGCTGATGTGTTATATATAAGTAGTTTGACTATTTTCTTCAGAGCCCCCCCTACAAATCAAACCCACTGCTATCAAGTCTATTCTGACTCTAAGTCCACTGCCATCAAGTCAATTCCAGCTCATGGTGACTCTACAGAACAGGCATACTACCCGTTTGGGTTTCTGAGACTTTTAAATCTTTATGAGAGCAGACAGCCTCATCTTTCTCCCCCAGAGGAGCTGCTGGATTCAAACACCTGACCTTGTGCAACCCACTATGCCATGAGAGCTTTTTACTTTTTGTTATTTGATTTAATAATTTTATTGGCATATAATTCACAAATCACACAATTTACTGTATGTACTCGAGTATAAGCTAACCTGAATATCCACCGAGGCACCTAATTTTACCACAAAAACAGCATTAAAAATGTGCTGAAAAACTCGGCTTATACTCAACTATATATGGTAATAGTTCAATCATTTTAAGAACTATGCAATCATCTCCACAACCAATTTTAGAGCATCTTCTTCTTTCATATACTGTTGTTAGCTCCCCTTTTTCCTTCCAACCTTCCCTGTCATGCCCCTAGGTAATTATTAATCCAATTACTGTCTCCATAGATTTTATCTATCCTGGATTTCAAATACAGGGCTCTTTTTTTATTTAAGGGCAGACAAAATTAGTAACTCCAAAATTCTAGGTAAGTGTTAATTCTTTGAAAGCATTCTGCAGTGAAGAAATTCAAAACATCTTTCTCTACACATAGCCCTGATTTTATAACCTAGTAAGATTATCACATACTATGGTAAATTAATGCTATCCTGGTGGCACCATGATTATGCAAAGGTCAGCATTTTGAAACCACGCTCCATGGAAGAAAGACCAACTTTCTATTCCCATAGAGAATTACAGTCTCAGACCCTCACAGAAGCAGCTCTACCATGTCCTATAGAGTCACTGTGAGTAGACATCGAGTTGGCAGTGCATTCGAGGATTTTATTATTATATAGGCAAGTCAGAATGGACTCAGTGGCAGTGAGTTTGGTTTTTTGGTTTTATTATTATATCAAGGTTAACTTAGAGATCAACAAAAGTTCTTCAATTGCTCTGAGTCTGATCTGAAAAGTAAACAGCTTTTTCTCACTTATAATTACAATTATAAATTTTTATTTCAAGAACTGAAATTAAAATGTTAACACTACTTGTTCTAGCTAGACTAAAAATAAATGTAATTCTACGGGTGATGTAGGATTAAAAAATTAACTAAACTTATTTGCACAATCTCATTAATTTACGTGAATTACTGTACTGTAGCACTTTAGCATAGGACAATAAAAGGGCTTTAAATTTCATTTTTGTATTTAGATGTTTGCTGGACTTAAAACACTATGTCAATAGCTTTCACTTCTGCTTCTAGATTATTTCAAGGAAGCATTGTCCACCCCTACTCAGTGGCAGAAAAAAATATGACATTTTAAAAAGCAACTTTTTGTTTATACTAGATACCATAAATATTTTTGAGTTATAATATACTAAACCCCATTCACTAATTTTAAGCACAGCTTAAGCTCAGTATCTCACAATTTTATAAATTGTGACCAATCAGTACTAGGGTGCAAATTAGGAAACAATTCCAAAGAGAGAGATATGTAAGGGTTCCAAATGTATAGAAAACTGTGGCATTCAATTTACTCATATAAAGAACATGCTAATGGCAAATTTTTTTAAAGTAAATTTTATTTTTAAAACCATTGTACAGTTGACATTTTGGTATGGAATTCTCTCAAAATAATAACTGGTTGGGATTGTCCGATTTATTCGGTAATTGTTCTCATCATTTTCAAAACAGAAGCAGAATATGTTGGGTTTCACCAAGTGTAAAGACATTTGAAGACCGCAAGACTTGCCGAAAAATCTGTAGAAACAACAGGTAATCTGATCCCTGGAGTTAATAATTAAACAAATGCCAACATACAGAAATTGAACTGCACCTCTGGACACTAAGATCACAAAAGGGGGGTGGGGGGGAGTCAATGTGTTGGGAATGACTTTTACCAAAAGGATGAAATTAAGATCTCGCTCAAGGTAAACAATTCATTTGATTTGAGATTTAGGAATTTAGGACATTGGGGAGGGGGGGGCAGTGTTTAATCAACCTTAACATAAATAGCAATTCTTTGTACTCAGGTAGGACTAGAAGGTCCGCGGATGTGCTTCTTTCAGGCCAAAACAACACATTCTTTGGCGATCCAAATACCAAAGGGATCAGAAACCGCTCGCTGTGGCGGGCAACACACCCGGGTGTGCCGTCTGTTTACAAATACGAATCTCGGTTTCCCACGTCGAAAGCGCGCATTTAATCCACCACTCGACTGGGGGGGGGGGGGGGGGGGGGGGGGGGGGGGGCGGGGAGAGGGAAGGCTGGTTGAGCGAGCCCCGCAACCCAAGCGCGGATGCCCCTCAGCCTCCGGCCTCCAGACAAGGGCGCGAGCAGAGAAAGAACACAGGTAGCGTGCATCATCTGCGCTTAAATCTACATGCTCCTTTCGGTGCGGACGCACACACGATATTAGCGGGTGAAAGCAAAGGCACGCACGGAGAGGAAACCCTACTGGACCCAAGAGAACGCGGAACCCGATCGCGTCCACTCCAGATCCACAGGTTTAAAGGTGTCCGCCCCGGGCCGGGAACCCCAGCTCCGGAGGCGTCCGGCCCTCAGGCGCCCCATGCCCTCTTCAGGCCGCCCAGGCCGCCGTCCCGCCCGCCCTCGCCCCGGCCTGCCCCCGGGGCGCCGCAGCCCCTTCCAGTCAGGAAATCCGCGCCAGGCCCCAGCGGGGTGACTCAGACGCGCTCGAGCCGGGCCGCCGACACCTGCGAGGACGGCACCTGAGGAGGAGCGGGGCCGCCGGCCTTCGCGAGCACACCCCCCTCGCCGCGGACGCCACCGCCCGCGTCCCCGTACCTGCGAGGCCCGCCGACTACAGACGCGCGCGGCGCCTCCTCA